GATATTCTTTCAGTACGGTCCCGAGCAAGCTTGGTTAATAAGAGATTTATTATACGGCTGAAGTTCAAAGGGACACAAGTGCGGTATCATTCAGGACCATTCGGGACAGTGCCAGGTCCAATACTTAGAGAATATTGGACCGGCAATAGAGCCTTTTGATTGGTTGATTTTAGTTATTGGCCCTCTGACTACCCGAGTCATGTAATAATAAGAGATATAACCTAAGAAATGCAGATTTTGCCTTACCTCGGTTTAATACTGTTACCTAAGGAAGACATTCTCTCAGATTTCTCGGACCACAATTGTGGTCAAAATTAAGCCGCAAGGGGGAGAAAAATATTGAAAATTTGGCATCCTTTAGGACTATGATACGTAAGAAGGATGTAACATCCTTTCTGGAAGGATGTGGGAGGGAATGCCACTTATGTTCTGGGTAACTGAATGTGCGCATATCTTAGGGCATTTTTAATGTTTTAAAGTATTTATATAATTATATATATATATATGATATAACGTTGTTTTAGGATGTCCATTAGTGCCATTAATTAGTATACTAGTTTTAGAGTATTTTTAATCTGTTTTAATGATATAATGTAGTTTTAGGGTGTCCCCAATTAGTGCTTACAGGCACTAGAACGACTAGACACGTTAATAAAGGTTATTTAGGTATGTATGCCCCAGATAATACTCAGGAAAATCAGAGGATATTCCACAAGTGATATTCCCCAATTTTCAACTCTTATGTCGGATAGGATAGGAATATTTGTTTACAAGATGAGATAATGTTTTGCTGTTGTTGCAGACGAAAAGACATATTTTTGTTTTTTTCAAAAAATTGTAACAGAAAACAGCAAAGAGTGAATAGCCTTCATTTTGTGCAAAGATATGCTCAAGTGTTTGTCCTTGCAAATTATCTGTCCCTTGAAGCTAACAGTTTTCTCAAGCTTTGCTCTCAGAAAAGTGTTTGCATCTCAGAACAGATAATGTCTGCAGACAAATACCTGTGCACATTTTGCCCCCAAGAGAGGCTATTGCTTATACATTTGTAAGTTTTAGCTGAGGCAGATTCAGTCAGGTGATATCTATTATCCAATCTTCTGCAAGCATAAANCATATTTTGACGAGCCCTACAGGCTTGTCAAAATACAAATAATGAGTAAAAATACTCAGCAATACTACACAACAAAATGTCTAATAAGTTATTTATTATCCAACACACCAAATTGTTATTTCAGTGCGGGTGAATTTCGCAGATATTTATTTACGGGAGTGCGTGACAGAAGTATGCGAAATGGTACAGAATTGGCGCATTGTCGTGTGGCTGTTTCTATTTTCTTCAATAAATGAAGAAATTTCTTGATCGTCTAGCTGTTTTTCTTTATTTGATTCATCTAATAAACTTGGATCTATATTCGCTAGCCATTCCGACTCTTTGTTGTCAGAAATGAGATTCAAATTGTCCACAATTTTTTTTTTTTTTTGTAACTTCAATTCAATTCTTCGCTTGCGCGATGCAAGAAAACCTGTCTAACCGGTTCTCTGGAGTACAAATACCACGTGATATTTGTACTCATCTATGGCATTATTTGTACTCTATGGAGTATCTAGTCAGATAATAAGTTAACATAATTATAATAATATTTTATACTTACAGGTTTTTCAGCCTTAATCGCATAAAGTTTATGTCCAGTGGTACATGGCTGACTGCACACATATCCAAATACTTTCTTATCTTCTGGGTCATGAGTGATAAATGATATTTTATTGATGGGATGTTCATGCTGCACTTTCTGCCAAAAAATCAACACGATTTCAACTCAACTGACAAACATCATGTTTCTTAATCGTATTAAAACAGAGTCAGGGCTTGACAGTAACTTTTCAACTTACTAGCCAAGTGGCTAATGACAACTTAGTTGTTACAACAATTTCAGTTTGTTTACTAGCCAAAATGGCTAGTACAAATTGAAAACTACTTGCTAAAACTGAACTTCTACTAGTCTGTGGCTAGTTGGCTACTGTTATTGTCGAGCCCCGAGGGTGACACTCTATTAACTCATTAAAATGTGTGCCATTATCTGTTGAACTTAACCCATAACACCCTTAAATTGGTATGCATATTCTCCATACTGTTCTATATAAATTGCTAAGGTGGTGACAAGGAGAATTTGTTTAACAATCGAGAGCTTCTTTAGTTAGTAGTCATTTGGTTTATTCTCCTGACCTAAATGTTTGATACAGGGGTGACATTGTAGGGAGAAATAAGATGCTAATCACTCTCACCGGTTAAAGGGTTAAAGGAGATGTGTGCTCCAAACACCATATAATTACAACTACATCATAACCATAACTACATGAAACTATGAGATTTTAGAGACTAACCTAACCCTTTCAGGGCTCGAATTTAATTTTTGGATCACTAACCCTTCAGGTTAGTTGACATCTTTTTTACTACCCAAATTATAAAGTTTGGTATCCAAACTGACAAGTTACGATATCTCAAAGATTGAACATTTTGATACGAACGACTAGGACATATTAAAGAGTAGCTGAAATTGCATGGTGGACTTAAACGTTGACAATTATGAACCCATTGTATTTCCCTCTTGTTTACCATGATTAGCCAGGAACAGTACATCTACAGCACATTCTCTAAAAGGATTTTGGCAACTTGAGTATTCTAATTATTCCTCTGAGAGTCGGGTGTATGTGCTCTTTGTACCGAAGTCCACCAATGTTTAAATTTATATGTTAGAAAATTTTACTAACCATGTCGGGTTAGTTGGAAACATTTTTAGTAACCAAAGGTTGGAAATTAATAACCATTGGTTAATGGGTTACTGTTAATTTCGAGCCCTGCTCTTGAAATGTTTTTCAAATGTGGTTAATATTTGATGTTAGAGGCTACTATTCTTAACTGCCTGGCAGTCTGGCTTGAACCATGCCTGAATCTTCTTGAATTCTATCTATTTGCTTTGATTTCAAACACATTTGTATCCACAAAGAGGAATCCGTGATTTAAACAATCATTTTGTTGGACATCTAGAGAAGAAGCTGTTTGAGAATCTCACATGTGAGTTTGCATATTTCATCAGGTTACTGACAGAGGTAAGTTTTAAAATAGGGGTGTTGAAAAAAAAACTTAAAGTTTATTTGAAGACAAATTTTGAAAAGTTAGGTTCTCTCACGAACTTTTAAGGTGTATTTTTAATAAAGTGGGTGCAAATTATATTTTTCTGGAAATACTTCATATCCAAGAACCAAAGTTTAAGATGTTCTGAGGTTGAAGGGAAAACAAAATTGGTAATTTATTATAAAAACCCCAGCATAAATGGGGGCTGACAAAAAAGGCACTCACACATGTATATCATCAGCACCTCTTATCTTGCAACATCCTACCATAACTTACATTTATTTTAGTAATAATAATGTTTCAGTGATACTACATTTTGTTTTGTATGTGCATGTATGACTGTGTTACATGTAAAAAAAAGCGTCCACCATAAGGGTAGGTAGTCCAGCCTCTTGAAAAATGGGAAAAAGTGAAGAACAGCTCCCCCAAAAACTGTCAGCCGACTGTCGTTTACCACCTTTTACGAAAATCTTCTGCTAACAGTCGGCCAAGTGTTGGCCGTTTGTCGGCCAACTGTTGGCAGCATG